TCTTTAATACCTTCAGAAAATGGAAGGCCATGGTGGAAAATGAGACTGGTCTGAAAGTCAAGCGGTTGAGGTCTGACAATGGAGGAGAGTACAAAAATCATAGATTCAGAGATTTTTGCGCAAACAATGGGATCAAGATGGAGACAATAGTTCCCATGACATCGCAGCAGAATGGCGTAGCAGAGCGCATGAACAGAACTCTGAATGAACGTGCCAGAAGCATGAGGATACATGCCGGATTGCCCAAATTTCTATGGGCTGAAGCTATCAACACTGCAGCTTACTTGATCAACCGTGGGCCCTCGGTTCCTTTGGATGGCAGAATACCAGAGGAAGTTTGGAGCGAGAAAGAAATAAACCTTTCACACTTAAGAGTGTTTGGTTGTATTTTTATGTACACATAAACTCTGCTGAAAGAAGTAAACTTGATGTCAAGTCCAACAAATGTGTCTTTGTTGGTTATGGTGGTGATGAGTTCGGTTACCGGTTTTGAGACTACGAAAATCGGAAGATTATTAGAAGTAGATATGTCATTTTCAATGAGAATATGATGTACAAAGACAAATCAACCATAGAATCAAGTAGCTCAAACATCGAAGCTGAAACAAAGGAATTTGCTGAGTTCGAGGAGATTTCTGGAAATGATGTTCAGATCAGTCCTGAAGCAGTTCAAGAAGAACCAGGCACACCGGAACTAAGACGCTCCTCCAGAATTCCTAAACCAACCCAACGGTATTCTCCTTCTTTGTACTACTTGTTGCTGACTGACAATGGTGAACCAGAGTGTTATGATGAAGCAATGCAAGTGGAGGATTCAATCAAGTGGGAGTCTTCCATGAAAGATGAGATGGACTCTCTTATATTAAATCAGACGTGGGAATTAGTTGAATTACCACTAGGCAAGAAAGCACTCCACAACAAGTGGATTTACAGGATCAAAGAAGAGCATGATGGGAGCAAACGCTACAAAGCAAGATTGGTTGTCAAAGATTTTTAGCAAAAAGAAGGTATTGACTACAATGAAATTTTCTCTCCATTCGTAAAACTGTCCACAATCAGACTGGTGTTGAAAATTGTAGCTGCAGAGAATTTACATCTTAAGCAGTTAAATGTAAAGATAGTTTTCCTTCATGGTGATTTGGAGGAAGAAATCTATATGAGGCAGCAAGAAGGCTTTATAGAGGCAGGCAAGAAAAACCTGGTATGCAGGTTGAAGAAGAGCTTGTATGGTTTAAAACAAGCTCCTAGACAATGGTACAACAAGTTCGATAGCTTCATGAGTAGTAGTGGTTTTACCAGATGCCAAGCAGATCATTGTTGCTACATCAAGAGGTTCGACAATAGCTTCATTATTTTATTGTTGTACGTTGATGACATGCTCGTTGCAGGCTCAGACATGCAAGAGATTATAAACTTGAAGCAAAAATTGTCGAAGCAGTTTGCTATGAAGGATCTGGGCGCTGCAAAGCAGATTCTTGGGATGAGGATTAAGAGAGACACAAAGTCGGGGACTTTGATGTTATCACAGGCTGAGTACATCAACAAAGTACTCTTCAGGTTCAACATGCAAGATGCTAAACCAGTAAGTACACCTTTAGGTGTTCATTTTAGACTCTCCAAAGAACAATCACCAAAGACAGAGGAAGAACGTGCACACATGGTGAAGGTGCCGTATGCCTCAGCAATTGGAAGTCTAATGTATGTCATGGTTTGTACCAGACCAGATATTGCTCATGCAGTGGGAGATGTTAGCATGTACATGAATAATCCAGGCAAGGTACACTGGGAAGTAGTCAAATGGATCCTCAGATATCTGCGCGGTACTACAAACAAAACACTTTGTTTCAAAGGTGGAGATACGATACTAACAGGCTATGTAGATGCTGACTTAGCTAGAAATGTTGACATCAGAATGAGCACTACAAGGTATGTCTATACTCTAGGAGGTACTGCAGTGAGTTGGGTTTCTCAACTACATAAGATAGTTTCTCTCTCCACAACTGAAACAAAATATGTCGCTGTTACGGAAGCCAGCAAGGAGATGGTTTGGCTCCAAAGTTTCTTAGAAGAGTTAGACAAGAAACAAGAAAACAATGTCTTGTATTGTGACAGTCAAAGTGCTATCCATCTAGCAAAGAATTCGTCTTTTCATTCCAGAACGAAGCACATACAATTGCGATATCATTTTATCCGGTCTCTTCTGGAAGATGAGATTTTGAAACTTGAAAAGATTAGTGGAGCTCAAAATCCGGCAGACATGTTGACAAAGACGGTAACCACAGACAAACTGAAGTTGTGTTCAGCTTCAGTTGTCACGCTAGACTAACAAGACCAGAAATGCTGCTGCATTGATCGAGGTGTGAAGACAGATTAAAATCAGTCTTCAAGTGGGAGATTGTTGAAAGTATTGTTAAAAATGGTTTTCAAGTTTGGCAACCAACTTTGAAAAATTGGTTTTCAAAGTTTGGTAAATGTTTCTTTGAAAAATAGTTTTTCAAAGTTTGGTAGATGTTTGTTGAAAAATGATAATAGGATAATCACAATTAATCCCTAGGCTTTAGGGTATTTACAAGATTAAGTTCTTAAGTTTCAATTATAAATACCCTAGCTCATTTAGCTTCAAATATAAAATCCCAAATCATTTCTTTCTCCCAATACTAAAGAGTTTCTTGTGAGTAGTGAGTGTTTTGTAAACACATGTAAATTTTCTCTCTTAGTAAAAGATCTGCAGCAATCCGGAGACGTAAGCACAATTGGCTGAACTCCGTTCTCAATTTTCGGGTATTATTTTTCCGCTTTTATTTCGTATTCTTACTAATCTGGTTATAGGGAAATTACTTGTACTCGGTTTATTTCCCAACACTAATAAGTGATGTGTTAAACACCAAAGATGAGCATTTGGTCTAGTGGTATGATTCTCGTTTTAGATGCGAGACGTCTCGAGTTTGATTCTCGGAATGCCCCATTCATTTTTATTAATATCATGACTAGGGATGGCAATGGGTCGGGTCGGGTTTTTGGGCCACCCGACCCGACCCGAGAAGAAAGGGTTTTTCACCCGTGACCCGACCCGACCCGACGAAATTAAGGTTTCACCCGACCCGACCCGACCCGAATATATGACTTAGAAACCCGACCCGACCCGACCCGAAATAATAATAAAAAAAATTTATTCAATGAAAACAGTGACTTAATTGAAAAAAATTATATATGGAGGGACATTATTGTAATTATCCCTAAATATATAGGATAAAATTATATATATTTTTGGGTCGGGTCGGGTCGGATTTTTTTCACCCTAAACCCGACCCGACCCGACCTGAACAATACATTTTAAAAAAACCCGACCCGACCCGAACCCGAATTTTTTTTAAAAAAAATTCGACCCGATCGGATCGGGTCGGGTCGGAACCCGTCGGATTCGGGTTGAGTTACCATCCCTAATCATGACTTACCATTTTAAACACTAACCAAGAGGAATCTAGTCTTCATATAAAAGAAATGGCTGCACCAAACAGTGTGGTCAGGCCCTTGCAAAGGGAAAACAACACCAAGTCAAAGTTGGGATCATACAGGATCCTTAGTAGAGTTACCAAATGTCTATAGTAGCCAAAGTAGATAGCACTTACGCCTATTCCATCAGAAAAATACTTTGGCATACCCTTCGCAGAGTCCTGCACACAAGAGTTTATTATGAGAAAACGTTTAATGATCGGGGGACAATATGATATTTAAACCAACTGTTTCAGTTGTCAGGCAGCACTCCAACAACTTGCTAAACAATAAGCATATAGTCATCTAAGTTTATAAAGACCTTGAATAAAAGATCTACTAACTATATTAAACATAAAAAATGGGAACTTTGACATACTCGGATGATTAAACAGGTCCTATCCTAATTTCAATTCTCGGAATGCTTTCAATCCCTTCTTTTAACTTCTCCAAATTTGACAACTTGAATTATTTGACCATAAGAATCCAGTAGAAACTAAACTTAAATCAAGTGCATTCTGCATAATATTATTAAACTTAATGAAGTTCAGATTAATGTGTATTCTGACCATATACCTAACAAATGAGTACAAAAAATAAACGATATATAGAAAAGGTAATCAATATATCTACCTCTGTTATGTCGGATCATAAAATGTAACATCAATATTGTAACAATCAACGATGAAGATCATCGATAAAAAAATCCATGTTGAATTTTTTCCAAGTTTAAAAATCATATTAAATATAAAAATAATGCAAATGTAGCATTAATTTTTTATTTAAAAAAAATAATTATAATGGTTTCATAAACCTTTTTCCTTTTATCTCTCTCTCTCAAACGTTAGATGCCGATGAACATTGAACCCGCCACCGTTTCTCATTGTTGATTAATAAAACTATAATTTAAAAGCGGTTAATAAAACTTGGCATTAATTCATCGATTAAATTCATTTTGGTCCTTAATTCAAGATGTTTCATAAAAATTATGGCTTCGGGACTTGTGATTAATTTCGATTAAGTCCCAATTTGGTTCTAATAATATTTTTGAACCATCGATTATTGATTATTTACATTTAAGTCCATGATATCCAAATTGTGTGGAGTAATCCGTTTTGAGGCTTCAACCCCGGAAGCAAACTCATACCGAAATCCGCAACTTTAAGATCACCATTTTCATCAAGCAGCAAGCTTTCAGGCTTCAAATTGCAGTGATATATGCCTCGATGGTAGAAATCGACTGCACCGATTGTTGGAAATACTTCCTTGCAGTGTCTTCTCACAACTTTCTTTTAAACACCTTCTTGAAGAGCTCACCATCTCTAATAGAGACGGATGTAAGGGTGTGAATTTAAAAAGTTATATTATAAATTTTGGAGTGTGAAGTTATAAAGCTCGAAGATGACAAATTATATAATACATTTACAGGAGATATTTCATAACTGATATCCAGAGATGCCAACAACATTATGAAAAAGGAAAAGAAAACATCACCCAAAACCAGCACAAACAAATGAATCAAACTGAATAGAACATGTCATGAATAGAGTACCATGTATCCAAATTGTTATCACATTGTGTTCAAAGCTTGCGGTTTCTTCTTGTTTTGCTTTTGCAGAAGAGAGATGTGGATCAAACCGAACTTTCTTCTCTGGCTCAAATACTGCTTTTGGTGATCTTTTTGATCAGGTTTTGGAGAAAATGTCAGACGATGATCTTCCCTTAGTTCATGAGGCATTTGGATCAAAGCTACCTTTTGCCTTTCGGTTGGACCTTTAGCAGGAACTTGTTTCCTGCTGAGGATATCCGCCATCGAAACCGGTGGCCTCGAGACGGGATTTTGTTCATCATCCATCGTTGGATTTTGCTTGTTCAGGTCATGTAACGGAGATCGAGTGATCTTCTGATGCTGGTGTTGATGAGGATGAGGGAGTGGGAAATTGTTGATCTTAGTAGCATTGTAAACAACATGTTTCCTCTGTTCTTGATCCGGAATCCATCTCCTGAGAGCCTCTTCGGCATCGAATTGCATCCTGTTTGCAGTTTCCACTCTATTAAGAGCATCTTCCAATGCCTCTTTACTATGTTTAACTTCCTCTGAAGCTTCCTCCAGTTTCCTCAGGATTGAATGCTTGGAGACATTTGCTTCAGCAAATTTTACATTCGGGCTTCGAGGCGACGGCTCTGGTTCTGGCAAGCAAAAGCCGGAAGAGTTGTCGTCGCTCGACAAACCCTTCATTTCGAAAACAGCAAGGGCCTTTGCTGCCATGGCAGCTTCCTCCATCTTCTTAGCTGCAATCCACCTCATTTCAGCTGTTCTAATACAAGGCTTTCTATGTTCATTCCCCGGAAACGACATCAATTTCGGAACTTCACTTCTTCTAGGATCAACCGTTTGCTTGAACTGCTCAGGCTTGGGATTATTGTGACGTGTACCACTTGAAATGTTTGATGATTGCTCAAAATTGCCATTGCTAGGCTTCAATGCCAACCCTGCAAACTTATAATTTAGCTTCTCACGGGTCCTTTCGAGTAAACTCTTCTCTCTCTTCATCTTCTTATTAAGACACTCAACCGATGCTTGGATCACCCCAAGATCATTGATAGTTTTACCAAGGTTCAATTTAGCTTGATTCAACTCTATCAAGATCGATTCCGGAGACGAAACCGAGCCCGGTTTTGAAGACCCTATTCTCGTCTGCTCACAATGTTCCTCGTTCATTTCTTTGACGGCATCCAAATCCGGACCGGTACTGGTCATGCATTTCATGGCTTCATGTTGCAGCTGTCTCTTTAATTCTTCAACAATCTTCTTTGTGGTTCCCAGTTCTTCAAGCACATCAAGGGTCTCCAATTCTTTCACAATCAGATCTTTCTCCAATTCTGCTGCTTGCTCTTCCACTTTCTTTAAATCAAACTCTTCAATTCCATTCTGTTCTCATAATTTTGCACATTCACAGAGGAATAAATACAAACAAAATGCAAACTAAAATGATGATAACATGTTGAAAATTTCATGATGACACAACCAAACAAAGAATACCTTTAATATATATATATATACATATAATAGTCAATGAAAAAGCTGATAGTACTTACATATGCCTCATCAAACTTGTACAATGGCACCCAAGGTCCGCTGCCACCGAACCGGGTCACAGCCTCCTTAACTGATCCGAAAGGCGGTGAAGTGTCGATCTCGGCCCTCAAACTCACTCTCCTTATCCCAGGGTTCGGGTCACCGGGCGGGACATGACAAGACTCGGTGCAAAACCCGAAATTCTCGGAGCCAGACTCGGGTCTCACCTCCTGGATCTTAGGTGTACCCGGAAATCCTTCCAGTGGGGAGCTTTGAGGTTCAGCTGCCATTGCATAAGCACACAAATAAGGTTAACTAGAGAAAAAATATAGATAGTGTGAAAAAAATGTTAATGTGAATGTGACTTGTGAGTGTAATGCAAAGACAAAAGACATCGTTTTAAAGGGTGTGCAATTCCAGCTTTAAAGATGAAAAAGATAATACATACAGAGATGGTCCGAGGAGAGGCTTTTGAAAATTTTAAATTAACACATCTTTTAAATAATTTTTTTTATTTTTATCAATAATCTATTTACATTATACTCCTAAAATTTTACAAGTTCACATCTCTTAAAATTATAAAAGCACACTTCCTAACATAAAATTATATATTTATCCATGAATACATATGTGTCTTTTATGTACTACCATTTTCAATTAAACTTGTCTTTGAGTAAGATAATTGTTGATTTAATTTATAAATATTTTTTATAAAATTGAGATAAATTTAATTTGAATTACTCATAAATAATAAAAAAATATAAATCTAAACTTTTCTGCATGACATCACGTGGTAGTTTATCAATGTATTTATAACTGTTCATGGAATAATTTATTAAATTATTTTTCTGAATCTTCATGTCTACATTAATATTGTATTTAAGTTCAAATAGAGACATGGAAATTATTAATAGTTGCTAAGCTTATGTGGAATATGAAGCATGTATTTAAGAGAGAGTTTTGTTTTGTTTTTATTCACGCTCTTTAAATTTTCATATTGAGAATTGTTGTCTTCGTTGTACCTTATTTTTTGTTTAATTAAAAATTAGTTTTATTTCAAAAAAATAAAAATTGTATCAAATTTATCTTTAAACAAATTTAAATTTTACAAAAAAAATAAATTTTAATTTATTATTATATGTACATCTAATCAGGGATAAACACATATTTTTTTGCTAAATGATGAACTTATAAAAATTTAAAAGGTAAAAACATATTTTAATAAAAAATACATAAAAATCTAAATATATGAGAATTTGTAAATTTCACGGAGACAATTGCCCACTTTGATCCATCCCTGCATGTGATGCAATAAAAATGAGAAACCAACCAATAACTAGTTGGTTAAGTAAAATAAAATGTTAGAACTTTTAATAAATTGAATAATTCAAATTTTGATGTTATAGATAGAATAAATTAAATCATGTACTTGATCTAACAATGAATTTTTTATAATATTTTATAAATATTAATCGATTAATAAATTAAATATAATATATTAAAATTTTGAAAAATCAAGAATTATATGAATTGTTATCATTAGGTCCGTATTCCCAACTGGTGAAAGAGAGAGAAAAGGTGGCAAAAGCGATTTTCATTTTTGTCCCCGTCTTTTTGGGGCGGATTCAGTGAGGTTGAAGTTAAAGGGATAGTGACGTGTTCATTTTTTATTGGTTGTTATGGTAAGAAGTCAAAGTAAGTGAAGAAGATTTTGAGTTTGGATCAATGGAATTTTGGCACGTCAGCGTTCTAAAATGAGATTGGGAATTGCATGTTAGGATTGCTTTTGGGCTTCGGCCGTTGATTGCGGTCTCAATGGCAAAGAGGAATATTGGGAATTGCAGTTTCGAAAGGAAGGGAAAAAGGCAAGGTCAAATCAAACGACAACGTTTGCGTAAAATTGAAGAAAATTGTGTTGAGATTACCCAAAAGAAGGACGAATCATTTGGTTTTAAGTATTGAAATCAGCAATGTTAAAACTATGTTTAAATTTTAGATCAAATTTATGATAAAATACACTAATGATTCATCGATAATAGAATATTATTTTGTTAAATTAAATGTTATAAAATAATCATCTGATTATTCATATGTTCTAAATTCATCATTTTTTTGTTATAATTTAACGACCATCGAAGCTGAATGTTATCTTGTTGATTGAAATATGATAAAATCATATATTTAATGATGTTTAAAGGCACAATCATTGCTTATAAGTATTGACTCGACGCCATGATGTTTCAAGTACTAGTTCGAAGATATAATATAAACAGATACTCGTTCTATAAAATATCGCTTAAATAGTTATGAGATCATATTCTATTATATATCAGTCAACATACTTAGACGATCGTCAATTATTTAACGAAAAATGACGAGCTTATTATATATGAATAAATATACGATCATTTTATAATTTTTAATATTTGATGAACTCAACAAAGTAGTATCTTATAATCGAGTGATGATTTGTGTACTTTACTCATAAATATATGCACTCTATATATTTTTAATTTATCTTCTTTTTAAATTTTGAAATTCACTACTAAACTAAACAGCAGCAATAAAATAATTAAGTCAAATTTCGCTATTAATTCTTGTATTATATGTAAGTTATAGATTTAGTTCAAATTCTCTAATTTATTGATTTTAAGTTTATAAAATTTAATTATATTATCTTGTATTATTTGAATTAAGATTAGAATCTAATTTTTTTTTTGGTGAAAGAATCTATTTTTTTTAAAAAAATACATAGATTAAAGTTAATTAAATTATAATGTAGGAACTAAATACACAACTTATATATAGTACAATTAGGGATGGTAATAGGTTTGTCTTGATCGAGTTTTTGACCAATTCGGTCAGATCTGAGAAGCATATTCCTTTCATTAAAATATGATCTGATCTCAAGTAGAATTCTGGCAAGATATATGGCTAGATAACAATGACCCTTTATCCAGACTATGCAACCAACCAATTGAAGTGGAGAATGACAGATCCAAAGTTAAGGAAATGATCAAATCTATTACTAAATTGAAAGCTATACCTCCTCCAGTAGAAGAAAGCATTGCAGACTCCCCAGGCTGGATTCTCTCGGAGAAAAGAATCTTCACAGTCAAATCTGCCTACAAGAAAATAGCAAATATCAATTCCATGGAGGAAAAAATCTGGTGCACCATTGCCAAACATAATAATAACCCAGGAATTAAAACTTTTCTATGGCTTATAGGGAACGACAGATTACTGACCAACTCGGAAAGTGCTCGTAGGCATATGACAGCAGATGAAATATGCCCTATGTGCAATTATGAGACAGAAGATATCAACCACATACTAAGATTCTGCCCGAAAAGCCTACTGATATGACTGAACTGCTGGGTACCCAGAAAATGGATAAGTTTCTGAGTAACAACATCAAGGAGTGGATCATTGAGAATATCGAAACAAGCCAATCCCCTTCACCAAGAATTGAGAATTGGCCTATCTTCTTCAGCTCTGTTATCAGGTACATTTGGAAAAGAAGAAATCAGGTGATTTTCGACCCATAAATGATCGAAAGGGACTCTATAATTCAACAAGCCATAAGACATATCCAAGATCTTCAAAATACAGAAATTACTAAAACCGAAAATACCCAAACCAGAAATAGCAACCAATACAAATGGCAGAAACCAGATATAGGATACTGCAAGGTTAATACTGACGGGACCAAACGGCAGAACACAGGAGAAGCTTTGTGCGGGGGAATTGCAAGAGATCACAACGGAAATTGGCGTTGGGGTTTTGGTAGGAAAATCGGGACTTGTTCCATCTTGGAAGCAGAACTTTGGGGCATCCATGAGGGATTAAATGTTGCATGGATGAAGGGTGAAAGAAAAGTAATTTTAGAATCTGACAACAGAGAAGCCATCAACCTCATCAAGAAGAAATCGAATGAACACATGAAACTTACTATTTTGCAGCACATAGAGAAATTATTAAAGAAAAATTGGATGGTTGAATTAAAGCACATACCTAGAGAGGCCAATCGAACAGCGGATATAATCACCAAGCATATATGGAGATATCAGGGAGACACAATTTTGTTGCAGAATTCCCCCAAGGAAGCTGAGAAGTTTCTAAATGTTGATAAAACGAACAGCTAAGCAACCCTTTGTACCTTTTTTAACAAAAAAAATATATGATATGATCTAAGTTTAAGAAGGTCAATTTCGACTCGAAATCCAACCTCAAGTTTAAGATAAAAATACATATTTAATTAAACGAAGATATAAAAAAATTATTTGATAAAATAAATATCTAATTGAAAAAATAGAAAAGGTTATTATAATAATCATTCTTATATATATATATATATATATATATATATATAAGAAAATTATATTATTATTCTAATTAGTATCAAGTTGAGTTGAGATATTTTATCATAAAATCAAATTTGACGTCATTCTTTGTAAAACTCGATCTGAATATGAAATTTTATTTTATTTTAAAGACATTAATCTTATTGAGTTGGATAGAATCAAAACATTTCGAATGAGTTAAATTATCATCTATAAGTAAGGGTGGATGCACTAATTCCCCTTGAAGGCCAAGTTCATCCATATTATTTTAGAAAAATATTTAAATTTAATTTAATATTTTAATAAAATATTAAAATTTCATACTATCATTCTTAAATTTCTATATCCGTCACTATCTCTAAATAGAAGGCCTAAATAATGGTGACTTTGGGCATTATCTGAAAAATATAAATAAAAAGGGTTTTTATTCTTTCAATGTTGTCGTTGACCAGCAAGTCATATGGCAGAAAACAAGCATAGAATGTAATTATAATCAAATTAAAACGAAAATAGGAAGTGATAGAAAACATAAGTATAATAATACAAATACGTTATAGGTAGATAAATATGCAAATTAAATTATGAAGGAATCCTCTTTTCTATAAAGTGTTTTATATGCTTTGGAGGACTAAAGTGAAAAAGGGCATGCATCCCCATAATTATTACCCTGTGTGGGTCACTTTCCAACCCACCATTCATTTCTCATCATATCCCTTCCATTAACTCCCAATCTTTTCTTTCAAATTCTCATGATCAATTTAGGGGTGTTTATATGACTTAAGCATAATTATTTTGAATTTAATTTAATTAAAATTTGGTAAATATTTAATTTGATTTAAATTTAAATTCTATTTAAGATTTGAATGAGTTGAGTTGAATAAGATTTAACTCAACTCGATAAATTCACGAACAATTTATTAATTTTTTACAACCTTTTAATAGTTACCTTAAAAATAATTTCATTAAAAATTAATTTATATTCATTAATTTATTAATAGATAATAAAAAAT